AGGGCATGCGTGGGGCCCTCCCTCACTGTGTGATCCCCAAGCATTTTTAAGCATCCGAAGTGTCACAGCCTCTAATCTCTTTCCTGCCCACTCCGCTGCTCCTAATTCATTTTGTATATCCAACACACCCTAATAGAGGCATGCGTGGGGCCCTCCGTCACTGTGTGATCCCCAAGCATTTTTAAGCATCCGAAGTGCCACAGCCACTAATCTCCTTCCTGCCCCTCCGCTGCTCCCCGCCACTCGCTCCCCTCCGTCGCGATGGCCGGCGTCGCTAACCCATCCATCCTCTCCCCACCCACCGTTCTCTCCTCCCAAAAGCCCACCGCTTCTCGCTGCCTCCCTTCTCTCCGCCCCTTCTCCTCCTCCGCTTACCCTTCTTTGGCTCTCCTCAATCTTCATCTTCATCCCCTTGCAAAACCCTGCCTCCCTATCATCCCCAGAAAACTCGATGCTCCCATCATCCGCCCTGAGGCGTCAGACGTAGCTGCCGCGGAGGCTTATCTCGCCGCAGATGAAGCCGCCAGCGACTCGGCCGTCGCCACGGCATCTCCGCAACCCAAGATCAAAACGGGGAAGGCCGCGTTGCCACTCAAGAGGGACAGGGTAAATCCTCTACTTTGGTCTCTCTCTTTGTTTATGTTTGTATGTTTGGTTTGTATGAATCGTGCCAATTTTGTCGGGCTTCTTTCTATGGGTAGACGAGGTCGAAGCGGTTCTTGGAGATACAGAAACTGAGGGAGAACAAAAAGGAGTATGATGTGCCTACGGCGATCTCGCTTCTTAAAGGAACGGCAAACACGAAATTCGTGGAGTCGGCGGAGGCCCATTTCCGCCTCAACATCGATCCCAAGTACAACGACCAGCAGCTGAGGGCCACGGTGTTGATTCCTGCCTACACTCTTGCTTGGTCATGTTGGATGTTATGTGTTGCTCATTCCATGTTTTTATCATGTAGGTGAATTTGCCAAAGGGTACTGGGCAGACTATTAAAGTGGCTGTGCTATCTCAAGGTTTTTTTTCCTTTAGTTCTTAACAATCCGCTGTTGATTGCTATAATCACAGTGTAAAAGGGAGCGCACTGCTTGTCTTACTAAAAAGTCTGAAATGTTTCGCTGCCTTTTCTGAGGAATTGGTAGATCCTCTTTCCATATGAGTCTTAGTTTCGTTCTTTTTACTACTTGGATCATGATCTCTTGAAATTAATTCTCTAAGAAACTGGTGACTCATGAGCAATCAAAGGTTGAATGTGGCATTAGGATATGTAGCTACTCTGCCTTCTAAATCTCACCATAATTGAAATGGACATACCTTTGTTGGGACCATTTCTATCGGAACATTATCTATTTTTTGGATGGCTCTTTGGGCAAAAATGTTGATATTGTTTATTAAGTATCATATTGCTTGCATATTGTGAACTTATGAAAGCATCTGAAACTAACACCTGATTGATGTTTTTTTTTTGTTTTGCCTGGTACTCATGTCCATGCTTCTAGATATCTTTTCATGTAAGAATCTTTTCTTTAATATCAGATGGATGATAAAGTAGACTTTTGAAGTACTATATCACCTTTTCCATGTCATAGAGAAATATTATTATGCAATTAGCAATTGCTAGTCGACAAGTACTAACTGGATAATTACCCCGGGCAAGATGTATTATCTTTTCATGGCATTTATTAAATTTCTATTGTATATTTTAAATGCATGGACCAGTGTGATATGATTATTTTCTTTACAGGATGGATTGAGTTAACTCTGTTATTTGCTGCTTCTTGCATTTGTATCTGAGTGATAACTGATCTGTTAGTTCCTTTTCATTAATTGGTCTGAAAGCTTCTGGGCTTTCTTTTTCATAGGCTTGAGATCTTTGTATTTAAGAGTTCTCATCTTTGACATTCACTTCAAGCACGTTAGCCATTTCAAAGATTTGAAGTTCTTAATACAGAAAACAATCTCTTATCATCTTAAAACTTGCTTATAACTCTCAGCCACCTTCTTTTTTGGTTGCTCATCCTGCTCCCGTCCCGCCCCTATTTGTCAATTACAGTATGATATATAGATTTCTTGTTTCTTGTTACTAAAAGCACACTTAGGGGCTAAATTTTCCAAGCTGTGTTTTCTTTATTTTTCTGTTGATTAGTTGTAAGGCTAGGTGCAAGCTTGTTGGCTTTGAGTTTTACAGTGTAAACTCTAAATTTTGTAGGTGAAAGAATCGATGAAGCAAAAAATGCAGGAGCTGATATAGTTGGTGGGGAAGAACTAATAGAACAAATAAAAGGTGGATTTATGGATTTTGATAAGTTAATTGCTTCTCCAGATATGATGCCCAAGGTCTGAATCTTGTACAGAAAATGACTTCTTGCCTTGCAACTATTTTGTGTAAATTATCTCATAAATGTAAACAAATTATATCTTGTATAAAATAATTTAAGAAACCTCCAGTAAATGGATATATTTTGATACCAACTGTTTGTGGCAATGAGAAGTTGTTTAACTAGTCACTATTATTGAAATTTTAAACTGGATATGAACTGCTAGTTGAAAAGGCTTTATTAACATAAAATGCCTACTTAAGTTAGTAAACAAAAAGATTAGTTTTCCGATATTTGCTTTTACTACAATTTATTGAATTCTTATTGAAAAGAAAGCTACTCAAACATCGATGAAAAAATATTACAATACACGTGCACTAAAATTCTTTATTTTCTACTGCAGTATTAGGGAAAACTGTTTGCTTTTTGCTGGCATCTGTAACTCTAGGAGTTAATGGAGATCAAGAAGCAGTCATTTATTTCTCTTTTTTTAATTTTATTTTAACATTACCGAGGATGTCTGTTAT